AGAGCAGCAAGACTCGCCCTTCACCATTTCAGACGGGACATTCAACACAACCACATCCTGTTGATGATGGACAATGTGGCCACCAAGGCCCACAATAACCGCCAAGGGGGGGGATGCACTCCCATTCCCTCATGGCAGAGGTGGAGGCCCTGGGCAGGTGGGCGAAGCAACATCTTCAGTCAATTCAGGCAGACCACATCTCGGGAGTGGACAACACTCAAGCAGACTGGCTGAGCAGGACCACCATAGACAATTAAGAGTGGCGCCTGCATCCGGACCTATTTCACCAACTGACCTGGAGGTTCGGGATTCCGACAGTCGATCTGTTTGCCAGTCAGGAGAACACGCAGCTTCCCCACTTCTTCTCCCACTTTCAGTTTCCCCGGGTGGAGGGAACAGATGCCCTCCACTGCAGGTGGCCGCCCGGACTACTGTATGCCTTCCCGCCTCTGCTTCCACAAGTGGTTCACAAGATCATTGCCAAAGGGGTGGAAGTTCTCCTGTTGGCCTCTCATTGGCCCAGAAGATCTTGGTATGCTGATCTCGTCAGTCTTTCGGTAGTGAATCCCTGGCATATCCCTCAGAACCAGGTCTCCCTCAGCCAAGGGGCCATTGTTCACCCAGACCCCCAGTGGCTGCAGTTGGCCGCCTGCCATTTGAGGGGGATCGCCTGAGGAGGGACAACTTTTTGACCAAGGTGATCCAAACTATCAAGGCGGCCAGAGGCCCTCAACCATCAGAATTTACTATTTGACTTGGGCCACCTTTGCCAACTGGTGCTCTGCCTGTGCTCTTGACCCGGTCACTGCCTCAGTGCCACGTGTCTTGGACTTTTTGCAGGAGGGCCTGGACAAGGGTCTTGCCCCGAACACCCTCTGGTGTCAGGTGGTGTCACTTTCTACCGTCTGGGCAGAGCATCCATCCCAGACCCTCAGCAAGCTGCCAAGGGTACATACCTTCCTCAAGGGCGCCTCAAATTTACGACCTCCAGTGGTTCACCGCTATCCTATGTGGAATCTCCCCATGGTTCTATGGGCCCTGACTTCTCCTTTCGAACTGCTCAGTTCTGTTAGTCTCAGACATCTGGCTCTGTATTCCTCATTGTCATCACTTCGGCAAGGAAGATATTGGAGTTGGTGACTCTGTCTGTTTGGAACGATTTATGTATTACTCATCCTGACAGGGTCGTACTCCACTTGGACCCCTCATTTATTCCCAAAATTAACACTTGGTTTTACAGATCGCAAGAGGTTATTTTACCAGACTTTTGCCCGCAACCCAGGTATCCCAGAGAACGTATCTGGCATACTCTAGACGTGCAGCAGGCTCTGCGCAGATATCTGAAGAGAACTGCGGCGTTCCGCATGTCTGAGGCATTGTTTGTCTCATTCCAGGGGCGGAAGGTGACATCATCCACCATCGGCAGGTGGCTGAGGGCCTGCATTGCCCTGGCATATGAGCATCAGTCCAGGGCAGTTCCATGCAACATCACCTGGGTGGGTAGAAGACGAGGCCAAGGGTTCGGCTGCAGAATGAGGAGTGCTTCCGCAACGGCAGCGTGGGCGATACAGGCGACAATAGAGGATATTTGCAGGGAGGCAACCTGGTCATCACCATCTCCATTTGTCCGGAACTATAAGTTGGACATGTTTGCCTCAGCTGAGACTTGGCAGACAGGTGCTGCAGCAAGTTCATTCTGCAGCCGAACCCTTGGCCTCGTCTTCTATCCGCCCTGGGAACAGTTAACATGGGTATGTCCCATGCTTGGACTCTCCAAGCAGTGCACAGGAAAATGACCATTGGCTTACCTGAAAGGTCTTTTTCTATGTGCTGCGGGAGAATCCAACCCCACCCTGATCTAGTGCAGGCCCAGGGTTCGGGAACACTAGACAATCTCCATGCCATATCATCACAGCTTCCAGTTCCAGGCATTGTTTAAAAACTGGCCTTAAGGAGGAGCAGGAGGCGGAGGTGTGGCCAAAGAATTTGAACTCAGTCCTTGGGCAACCAGACTAATTCTCCCGCAGTGCACAGAAAAAGACCTTTCAGTAAGCCAATGATCATTCTTTCCTAGAAATCAGGCCTCTAAAAGTCCTAATTTAATCTTTGACATTGGAAAAGTTGGGGAACTCTCAGAGGGATATATGCATATCTCTACAAACAGGAAATCAGGAGAGTTGAAGTTCCCACTCAACAATTTACAGATAGGTTAGAAAATTCATTATCAGAACCAGCAAAATGCTGCATCCCATTTTCTGTTTCATAGCATTTTCTGTAGAAGGACAACTGCATCAGAAGCCTTATTGGCTGACTACTGTTAATAAATACTCATAGAGTAACTCTGGGTTAAAGTCACTTTTGTAAAACATTATAAAATAGATTAGTCTGTGTCTTCAGACTCTGATTTTGGCTGCATTGGGTTACAGAGTGCTATAAATTACATGTATCCCATGAATATTGCTCTGAAGGTCTCTTTCTTGCCTGCTCCAGCTTCAATGAATGAAAACAGCAATTACATATATTGTGGAGTACATTTTTGGTTTTCAGAAGATCAGCAGTCCCACCCTATTTAGAAGAGGAAATAGACTAAGATCAGGTGGCCCAAGGATAGAGATACGTCTAACTGCTATTTTTCTATCAGTAGATAACTTCAGGACAGTCACTCATTCTTAACCTAATCTACTTCCCAGGATTGTTCTGGGAAAAAACTGGAGGAGAGGGTGCTATGTAGGCTATCCAGAGCTCTTGGAGGAAGGCAAGATACAAATGTAATAATAAATAAAATATAACCAAATGAGCTTAATAAGGCTTGCCTGCCATGTTTTAGCATAGTTTATTCCTTGCAGGAATGAAAACAAAGCATGCTTTGCGACACCACATGAAGCTGCATAAAGGGATAAAGGAGTACGAATGTATGGAATGCCATCGGAAATTTGCACAGAAAGTCAACATGCTTAAGCATTATAAAAGGCACACAGGTGAGCCCCATTGATAGGTGTTTTGTGAACCCTGCAGAGAATTAATCAAATTGCCTGGAAGTTGATAGGCTTTAAATTAAAATGATGTCAGTTCATTTTTATGGCAATTATACTTCAGGTATCTTCAGGACTAAACAGTACAATTGTATACGCAGACAGTTGTTCCTAGGAAATATCCAAAGAGTTTGAGCTGCTATATTTTTCACGTGGCTACACGTGGCTATACACACACACACACACACACACACACACACACACACACGATTATGGTTAACATTTTTTACCAAATGAAACATCAGTAAAGCGATACACTGAAATATACATAATATATTCACACCAAAACACAACAAATAACAAAAACAATAATAAAGCCAGTTTAAAGCAATGCATTTTAGCATATTTGCTAAACTCCAGAGAATAGATTGAAAAAAGTTAAAAAAAAAAAAAAGGCTTGCTAACATAAATGGAAGAACTCATTACAAAAATCTGAAGGATATTTGGATTTTTGAAATATATAAGAGAATCCTTCCCCCTTCCCTAAGATGTACTCCCTTGCCAACAAAACATGATCCATTCTTTCTTTGGTGAAAGAGATCCAGTCTAAAAAGACAAACTGCTTATCTGCAGCAATCATACACTACAAAGTTGAAGTTTGGGTTTATTGTCCTTAATCATGCTAAATTCAACATTGCCAGTGCAATCCTGAGACTTCTTTCGCATGAAACCAATGAACGAGCAAAAGCAGGCTGTCGTTGGTATGATATAGAGAGCAGCTTATCCCGCGTCCCAAACAATCTTTTTTTCCAGAACTCTTATTCCTATTGAATTCTTTTAGTGCTAAAGAGAGGCATATTACTGTTAAATACAATTTTATATTTGATATACAGCTCTATAAGAAACCATTATTTTGGTATTTACCATAGTTTCTAATTAGCAGGGATCAAAGACTTCATGTGTGAACTCTGCGGAAAGACCTTTAGTGAGAGGAACACAATGGAAACCCATAAACTAATTCACACAGGTAAATGTTAAAATATTAATTCTAAA